TGGTGGTGAACCTGCCCTAACACTGGACTTAGAGAACAACTTGGCCACTCAAGGTAATGTAGGTTTCTACAATCATCTAGCTAATTGTGATTGTAGTCGCTTGAATAATACGTCAGCCTTTACCACTGTATACTTTAATTGTTTTTGTAACCGCAAACTGTTATCTTCGGATGAGGGAGCCATGTTCTTGGACGGAACGGCGAGTTCATCGCAGCTCTCTCCCCAATGAGATGTCTCTAGGAGAAAGAAAAAAAAACTTCTCGACTACTTTTGCCAAGGTTTGGTATCTACAATGCGACTATATACCAATTAGTCTGTTTTTTTGGCTGTTTTTCGTTCTTTTCTCGCTTATGTGCCTTACAGGAGGGCACTTTATCAATCAAGGCCGAAAGATTTCGACACGTCTTGTGAACGGGGTACTGATTAACAAATGCTAGCGGTACAATATAATCGATTTTATTTATCACAGTCTTTCTGTAACTTATTCCGCCAATTCTTTTTAGGGCCCAGAGCGCATATCTTGAAGTGTTCTACAGCTGGGAAACCTCTGTGGGAGACTGTGATCATGAGCCCCGGTATAGCCTTGGCTGGCAATCGGTGAGTTGGGGTGAAGTCTGTTTTCTAAACGAATGTAGTTATTTGTGTTTCATCTATAGATCCAAGAAGCTTGTGATACCAGGAAAGAACCGAGGTAATGCTTTTCAGACCGAATAGGTCAACACCAAAACGCTGGTTAATTATCATTGTTAATTGTCAAATTATTTTTAACTTTGCGATCTCTTTTCATTTTGTAAAGACAAGTGATCTGCGTGGCTTGTGAAAACCGAAGTATCGACATGTTTTCTTCCACTGGACGCAAGTAAGCAACCTTCGTCCCTACATGTAATTTACGCTATTACCAGCGTTTGTAGCTAGGAGAATCAACGATTTTTTTCAAGGAATGACAATTAATTACTTACTGAGAGTAAAACCGTGACTGAAGTTACCGTGTTACCTTGTTGAGAACAGTCCTGTTTCGTTTTCCATTCCTTTCTCATCGAAAGCGCTTCTAAGCGGCCGAGGACACGGTCAAACAAGAGACGGTACAACAAGATAACAAACCCTTGTAGAAAAGAATGAGCTAACATATTGAAAAAAAAAGGTTTTTTTTTTTTTTCAATAAATTTTTGCCGTGTAAAGAGCTCATTTTTAAACCTAAGCGAACTTTATGGACAAACGTCTTTGTTACGCAATACTGCCCGAAAGCAAGAGTGATGTTCAATATATATGTGTCATGAGCTTAGCCGACATTCCTCACTTTTTCTCGCCTCCTTTTCGCCGTTCCTCCTTTTCCTTCACCACGTTGGCGCCGCCAATGATGCTTCCCTCAAGTTCGGGAGCATTTAAGTGATAGTGAAATGAGAGTAGTGAAGGAGTCCTAATGCATCACGGCACTAAGATGAGGAAGTGATTCAGTCAGGTTAGCAATAAAAGTGATGTGAACTTTGGGAATCACGCGGCAAAGTGCTCACATAAATTTGCTCAAAATATTTTCATTATGACTGAACAGAATCCTACCGTGCATGGTATTAGACTCACCAGCCTCCATTCTGCAGTGCAGCCGTCATTATGTCATGCTTGTCACCTCCTCTGGGGGAGTTTTCGTTTGGTAAGTGTTGATGAAATTTCCTTTGGTTTTTAAGTTTTCCCTTTTTTTATGGGTGTTTTGCTAAGAGAAAGCTGTGGTGGTGGCTGTTTGTTTCGTGTTTGGTGATGGTGTTTTCCTTGAAAATCTGTGAAAGAGATTTCTTGTTTCGCGGCCTTTGAAGTTGAATCTTTTGATCCCTGTGAGTGACCAGCATCTAATTTCTCCTTACAATATCACCCCTGAATCACACATTGAGGTCAGGAGAATCAAGGAAATGATCACCAACTAAACAAGCTCTCTATTATTAAACAAATTCTCTTTATCAGCACCTCAGGAGATGTACAGAGAACAGTATGGAGAATATGCATACTGATGTTACGGTGTAAAGGGTTAAGTGGCTTTTTTTGTTGTTGTTGTTCCTAGGGACACAAAGAGAGTTGCTGCAGTGCTAAAAAATGAATCAGTGCTTCCACTGTTGTCGGGTATGTTGTATCATTTAAGAAAGAAAGAATTAACCTGCAACACCTACTTTACACATGTACATGTGTACCTCTATTATTTGATGCATAGATGATGTGCAGAAAATGTTTACAAACGCTGAACTTTGTCATTCTACAGGTCCAGATGTCACCATAACTCGAGCCTCGATCTCAGAACGAGGATTTCCAATCATCACCCTGTCCAATCACGCGTCATATTCCTTCGACACATCTGTCGGGGCCTGGTAAGAACAAGTTATTACTTGTGGGTTAAAAGATGTCATACAGTGGTTCAAAGGTAAACTCTGACTTAGCTTCCTTTGTCATAATTTCCATTGATCCTTAAATCGACCCAACAAGTGTAACTGGACTTCAAGCTGGGCCTCTTTAATGACGTTTAGCTTGAACTTGTGCAACTTGTTTGATACGTGTTTTGGGAATTATCTTTCTCAGTAGAATCCAGCTGCAGTAGAGCCTTGACCTATTTGTTCGAAGGTTGATTAACGCTTACCAAGGGTTAAATTTTAATCCGTGTTTCTTCACTTGTTCAAGAGCTTTTCTGGGATAATTTTATCTATTCTTTGAAGGGCATCCAGTCATCAAATTGTAGACAAAAGTAATTGCACTGAATTTTCCTTTTAAGCTTTCAGACATAAGATCAGATTTCACAGTAACCCTGGCTTATTTTAACTCCGCTTTGAAAAACCCAGCCTAGCGGGGCTTAATAAAACTCGGTCACTATAAGACCTCCGACCGCTGTCTGTTGAGCCTGCGAGGTTCTCGTGTTTCGGGGGCTGCTCACCGGAAAAGTTATTGAAACCCATAAAAGCTTCACTGATAACTTTTGATACTCGCCATAGATTTATTATTGACAATCTTGTTTGATCAGGAGAGTTGGACATTTTCCAAGTCCCTTTCTTGTTTGCGTTTCTATGGACCGAGATGACATCAAGGAGCGCTAATCACCTTTGAAAGAAGTTGCAGTCAGGATACACAATACAATGTTGAAGAATGACGGTAGCTTGATGTGATGTTTTACTCATAGGGTGCAGCTTATTTACGCTGATGACCTCTTGGCTGTCAACTCTGACCATCAGTCGGTGGCACTAACCCAAGATCCTCTGCAGGCGAAGGGTCCTCTCGCTCAACTACAAGGGCAGAGTTCGAGGTGTGCGAGTTTTTCATGCTGAAGTTTTGTTGCTTTTCTAACTCCAAGGATTTGAACGGTTATGAAAGTTTTCATGCTTTGTTAAATTCAGTCAAACCTCATCAAATTCTAACTGAAGAACTCTTCCCACAAATGTAAATGACCTCATCGTCATTATTGCTCAAATAACTTTAAGGCAGACAACAAAAGCAGACTCAAAGTGTTTATTGCTGTTTGCGAAAACGCGTATCTAAATTCACCCTTTGGAATCATCTATGAGTATTGATAAACTTCTGTCGAAACTTTATTTTAATATCATTCGATTTTGATCGTGTCAGAATCGGGCGTCAGTCGTCAAGAATCTTCCGTTCAAAGACGGGCAGACAGCAGTCTGCCACAGCGGTTCATCTGGAGGTAAGTCAGCGGAAGCCGCAACTACTTAGAGTTAATTTGATTCCCAGCGTCATCCTCCTTAAGATAGAATATGCAATGAGATCTCTGTCAAACCTTCCGTATTTGTAGTGTATACCTGCACAGATACCGGGGGAATCCAATGCATTCAGTTCTGTAAGCTAATGCAATGCAGTTCCAAGAAATTAAGTCACAATAGATTTTACGCATCTTATATGTAAAAAGCAAAGAGGATTTCAGTAGGACATTAGTTACTAAAGATGCAGTTAATCTTCGTGTCGATCATTTTAAGTGAAAGCTGAAACTTGTAATCTGGTCATATAGGTGTAAATTTTATTTGTTTTGTATTTTATATTTTTTCAAGAACCAGCTGTCCTCTTGCGTCGCCCTGGGGTCTGGTAAAGAGTACTACTTTTGGTTGACGACGTACGTACGGTATCTTTCTCAGGCAGGTACGTGAGCCTTTCAGTTCAATTAGCTATTATTATTTCTTCACTGATTCTTCATTTCGTTAGGGGACGCACTCCTTTATATGACCTGACCGAGTAACTACCCTCATACCGGGTTTGGCTTTTGGGGCCTGAAGGTGGACAGTTGTATCATGTGCTCTTCAGCAGGATGAGCAGTGGGGCCTGAAGGTGGACAGTTGTATCATGTGCTCTTCAGCAGGATGAGCAGTGGGGCCTGAAGGTGGACAGTTGTATCATGTGCTCTTCAGCAGGATGAGCAGTGGGGCCTGAAGGTGGACAGTCGTATCATGTGCTCTTCAGCAGGATGAGCATTGGGGGTGTACGATTCATATGTGTGGTACCAGCAATCTCCAATTTCTGTCTGGTTCCTTTGATTTAGCAAGCCCCAAGTTTTACATTGTTTTTTTTGGTCATAAACGGGGTCGTGAAAAGAACAGATTTTGTTAACAAACAAGGTTTGAAAACGTCTGCGGTATACTCCCACCCAAACTTTCCTCGTCTACTTCCCTACCTGGGAAAACGGTTGTTTTTTTTAATGTTGTGTAAAAACTTAAAATGTATGGTTTCAGGGTTTGAACCACGATTAAGGGAAGTTTGTGAAGAGCTACTTGGACCTCCACACAGGTACAGGAACCAGTGTATTATTGAACTCAAGAAAGAAAAAAAATTGTTATTGAATTTATTAAGCACAGCTTTCAATGAACTGATGTTTTCTTTTGCTTGGTACATGTATTACACAAACACGAAATGATGTAAAAAGAAGACTAGAGTTGTTTCCTCAGTTGAAAATTTCGAAATCTGTCAACAACAACTTTTTTTCGTATTGCAGCAGATGAATTTTCGTCAATTTATTGGTTTCACTGTTTCCTGGCTTGTTATTCTTTTTCATGTTAGTTATTGTTTTGAATGGGTCATTAAAACATTTTTCACTCATGGCATCGTTCATTCGCGGTATTCTTACGTCATTTTGGTTCTTTCTTTTGTTTGTTTTTTATTTTTTGTTTTTGTTATAATACTGTTTCTGGTTTTGTGTTGTTTGTATTTTTGTCTGTTTATGTAATGTTCTGTGTTTCTATAGAACAATAGCACCACAAGACAAAAGTATCAATTGGAACCCAACCATACTGGTAATAGTGACATAAAAACTGTCCTTTCTTGATAATATGTATTTATTTATTTTACTTTTTTTTATCATTTTATTGTTGGTAGTGCAATTTTCAATTGAGTGTCGAAAGTAATCCGTGATTGCGCTGGTTTTGCTTTACTTTGCCCTGTGATTGGTCAACAGAACATCCACCACTCTCTCAACCAATCGGGTGCAAATTAACACCAATCGCGATTTGGTCGCCGGCGGTTTCCCACGCTTTATGTGGTTTGCTTTACTCTGATATCTCATTGACTCTTTAGGGTCTCCTCCTTTCTTCTGATTGATCGCTGTGGTTACTTCGGGTTTTGGTTTTCTACGACACTCGATCACAAAGCGCTCTAAGCGTCGAAAGCAATCCGGGATTGAAGTGGTTTTGTCATACTTGGCTTTGTGATGGGTATTTCGTCACCTTTGCAATTAATCAGATGCACACCTAAACTGACGGAGACTTGGTCACTCGCGCTACCTGTCGGCGTCTTCTTTTTTTTCCCTTTGTCATTGAACCTGGCGATTATTTTCCCTTCTTATAATTGTTTGTTGTGATAACTTTATTTCAATGCTAGTAACTGTTTGAAATTTTTCCATTGATAGGGATACCAGAAAAGAAATCTTTTGCATGAACTGTTGCCTCATATTGGTAAGTTCATATCGGGATTCCTTGAAGCCTTTAAACCACAAGAGTAACTAGCATCTAATTTCTCTTTACAATATCAACCATGAATCACGATTGATGTCACGAGAATAAATGAAGTGATTACAAACTAAAGAAGCTCTCGATCGTTAAACAAATTCTCGTTGTCAGCACGTTAGAAAATGTATAGAGAACAGTATGGAGAATATGCACACTCATGAAATGAAGCTTCACATACCTTCTCTAGTTCTTGTTATTTGTTTCTCGGAACTTATAATGCGTTTGCTTTCAGGGACAAACATTCGTCTACAAAGGCTCTTTACAGAGTTCAGGGAGCAGCTAGATGCACTCAACGTGCGGTAACGTACGACAGGTGGCAGAGTGAACCGTTTTTGAGGTGAACATAGAATTTGAACCGTTTAAAGAGGCGTGACGAGATGATTGTCACGCAAGGGTTTGATCGACGTTCAGCCTCAAGCGTGGCGGATCGACAGCGCTCGAAGGACTTTCGCTTGAAAATACCAAAGATAAATATTTTCAGTAAACAACAGATCATTCACTGAGTATGTTAGACCTGGGCTATCAACCGAACTGTAGTATACTGAAGTTAAGCAGCGTGTTCAAATGCTTGTAAATAAATATTTTGTTATCAAAGGTGCGCTGTATACTTTGTGCATCTCAAGTTATAATTATCATTGAGCTAGTCGGTTTACCTGGTGCCTGGTAACATTTTGTCCTGGTAATCTTTTTAATCTTTACCTTAACCCTGATTAACTCTGAATAACATAAATTATTAAAAACTGGATCATTGGATAATGCAATTCAAGACTTTTTATTGGCTCAGTCATTATGGTATATGAGCCAATATACCATAATCTAATTTCTGTACATTGTTAAATCCGGTTTCTTCTCACAAAATAAAGTCGAGAAGATTTGTCTAATAGTTTGGGGTGCGTTTTTTTAATAAAACAATTATTCCACTCGCGTTTGTTGGATATGAGATGATTAAAGCCAACTCGGCGCTACGCGCCTCGTTGGCTATCTATCATCTCGTATCCAACGCGCGCTCGTGGAATAATTGTTAAATATCCTTACATTAACCCGCAAAAAGGGTGGGCGCGGATTTCCGTGACTTGGGACAAAGGTTTGGTCCATCCGGACAGTATCCTTTGTCAGCATTGGAGGTACACACCTGCAAATACACCTCAGTGAAAGGTGGCGCACAAATTCTGCTCAGGGCTAAATTGCTCCAGTTTTTCATTTGTAATTCGTGTCTTCTTACATGATTTATCCGTCTCTACTCATCCTTATTCCTTTTGTTTTAACTCTTCCGCTATCAAGGCCATTTTTTCAAATCGCAACAGTAATCTTTTGTCAATGGCGTATCCTCCGTTTGCAGCCTTTTCGTTTATCCTGCGTTTATACCAAAAAGCCCCTAGGGAAGCTCCACGCTAACGTTCCTTCCGACTTTCCTCTCTGAATTTGACAATTCCCTTGCTGCCAGCTGTTTGTGTATCCAGACACCTCAGATTTCTGTTTAGGGTAAGAAACACCACAATACCTAACGACTTTATCCGAACGAACTGTCACACTTCATGCCCTTGTGAACGATATAATTTCTAAACCACACGAGTCCTAAAGTTTTGAAGTGATTGAATTCAATATGATTTCGATTGAAAAAAAAAAATGACAATGAAAAAGTGATAATGGTTTAGTTGCAGAATACTAAAATATTGCAGTAATGGCAATAATTTGATTTAACTGCTTTGCAAATAAGGCGGACATTATGAGAGAGAACTCGGAAATTATCTGTCAGATTTTATATCACTTTCATTATCTTGTAAACGCCAAATGGATATGCCCGTTGTGATAAAATTTACTGACCGGATTTTTCTTGAAAACGAAGACGTCATCTGCGGTCGTTGATTGTGTATGAATCGCTTGCAATAGGAACTTTTACATTTGGCTACAGACGCTGGTGATGTTAGCTATTTTTTCTTTTTGCCTGAAATTTTTTGCTGTGTTTTCTTTTTTATCGTTTATTTATTTTATTTTATTTTATTTTTAGGTCCCCTATAAAATATTAACACCCAAAGCCAACCCCGAGTATGAAAGAGGAAAGTGGAAAACTAATCCCAACCCAAAGTACCCATTAAATTTTTTTTTTTTTTTTTTTACATAAGAAAAGAGAAAAAGTAACAACAATTAGCAACTACAAATATTCATACGATTAACTCTACAACATTTAGGACAAATTAACTTATATGAACGAATGTTGTCTCCATCAAATACTAATTTAAGTCTTTCAAAGAAGAAATACTTTAACTTGTTTTTAAAAGAAGAAATGGAAGCCTGTGACTTAATATTATCGGGAATGGCGTTCCATAAATTAGCTAGACGGTTGAAAAAGGAATCGCGAAACAAACAAGTTTTGGAAGGCAGCGTATTAAGGTAAATGCCTGAGCTGCCACGGCGGGATTTGCTATTGCAGTACTGAATGTAATTGTGAATGTTTAAGTTAATATCACCAGACATGCATTTAAAGAAAAAAATTAGGTCGAAGTCCTCGAGCCAATAATTAAGCGGTAATAACTTTAGCCGCACTAACCTATCCTTATAACTAAGGGTGTCTGATTTGCAAATAAACTTGGTAGCACGTCTTTGAGTCTTTTCAACTAACTTCAGGTCTTGGATTATGGATTGAGGGGCCCACACCTGAGGTGCGTAAGGGAAATAACTACGCACTAAAGATGTAGATAACAAAATTAATGTCTTAGTGTTCAGTGAGGAAAAGCAGTTCCTTTTGATGATTCCCATCTTTCTGTTGGCTTTCGAGACAATTGCTGTCAAATGATGGTTCGAGGTTAGATCTTTTGTGATCGTGATACCAAGATCTTTTTCTTTAGTTACCACTTCCACGTTGGTGCCATTAAGGGTGTAGACTCTAGCAGGACCTGCTTTGCTTTCCTTCCACTGATTCGTAAGTTGTCGCACTTAGTGGCTGAAGGTAGATTTGGTTTTCGGCAGACCAAGAGTTCAGTGCTGACAGATCAGTTTGTAGTGCAGAGCAGTCATTAATTGATCTGATATCTTTAAAGCACCTTGAATCATCCGTGAGCATCGCAAGTTTAGTCGAGCAAAGGACTTCAGGCATGTCATTCACAAACATTAATTTATATCTTATTCGCATTCGCAACTGTATCCCTCGATCGTTAATTTTGCATCAAACAACTTACACACTTACACAAAGCACTTTTGGTTATGGTGGGAAATTTCCTTCTTGTTACATCTGAGGTTATCTAGAACTTAATTCAGTTTTTTCCCCTGCTTTCGTTTGGACACATTCATTATTTTTCTTAATGCAAACGCTACCATAAAGTTAGCAGTTATTCAAGAAAATAAATTATGGCCCTAGATAAACCCAATACAGCGATTTGTTCTTGTGTGAAGTCTGTCTTGGGATTTAGAGAGAAGAAATTCTGAAAGACAAGAAAGAAATAATTTTATATGTAATCCGCATTTTATAATTTTTTGCGATAAGTACTCAACTTGGAGTAAAAAGGCAACATTCAATATGAGCCCTTTTTTAATGCTTTGAAAACTATGACTTAACAATTCATTTGATATGAAACTGATACCATTTATTTTGACGTTCAAAGATTAAATGTTCAAAATTTTTAATAGATTTCTTTTAGGCATGTTAAAAAATAAAGGATTTATGTTCATAATCCTTTTAGAAAGTAGTTCATTTGAACACATGTAGAAGGAGATAATTGAAATGTTTTTTCGGTTTGTAAGCTTCGCAGATCTCTAAAAAATCTGATCGGACGTTTTTTGAAGATCGCTTTCATTTTTTTTTTTTTCTTTTTTTCTCTCTCTTTTGGTATTTTATCTTACTAGTCAAGGATCAGTCCAGGATTAGGAAAAGAAAAATTTTAGACGGTAAATCTACTATTTAGCATGATTTATTTCGTTATGTTGCTATAGGCTTAATCGGGGTGTTTTGTTTTTGGCTACAGAATTGTTTAAAGAAATTAATCGTAACATTCAAAACAGTCAAGGATCAGTCCAGGATTAGGAAAAGAAAAATTTTACACGGTAAATCTACTATTTAGCATGATTTATTTCGTCATGTTGCTATAGGCTTAGTCGGGGTGTTTTGTTTTTGGCTACAGAATTGTTCAAAGAAATTAATCGTAACGTTCAAAAATAATTCGAACGAACTTATGCAGTATCGGTTACTTTGAAGATGACTAAATTTTGAATTCCTAATGAAGCAATGTGAAAACTGTATGTTAATTTCGGACAAAAAAAATGTGTTAACACTAAAATGATCCTTTTTACTATCATTAGCTTGTATTGATCGTTGGGCGTCAATAAAAGTTGAACTGAAATGTTTCGATCAAGCCAAGTAGTTTTTTTTTCAAATTCGTTGTCGCAAGAAATGTGTATTAACAATAGGAGTCTTGGTAAACCTTATCGGCTGTTTTCCTGTTGAACATTCACCCAAGATAACGATTTTCTTTTATAGGAATCTGAAAATAATCGTAAATGTGTTTGCGAAATCCCTACCCCGGTGACTTTAAATGTTAAAAATTCGACCGACTTCACAAGCTTATACACTGGTGGATTCACTTTTATTAGGAGTCAGAAAGTGTTTTTTTCTTCCGGTGGTTTTTTTCAGCGAGAAAACTTTTAAGGTTCCTATAAACACAAGTGGAACTGCGAGGATGTTTCATTTTTTCCCTTTTCTTTTGTTTCTTTTTTGTTTTTTTTAGCTTCTTTACGAAAATACCGGTTTAGTGTTGGAGTTATTCTCAGTTTCGTAATTTTTACTACGCGCTGTATATGTATTTTAGCGTATTGTAGCAGCTGCCGGTTTATTTATCTTTCTTGCTCCCCAAAGGCTGAAATACGAAAATCCAGTATTGAAATTGGATTATTGTTTCCATGTTGATTAGTGTTTCTATTGTGTTCATGAAATTTTTTCACCCTTTTTTATGTTTTCATTTTCATGGGCCAAAAAGGTTGAATTTTGTGTTTTCAGTCGAAAGAAATGGTAAAACAGATCGCCCTTAATAAAATGTATGTTCTGTAATTTTTGTTTAGTTTAGGTTTGTAAATGGTTTTCATTAAACATCAGAAATCAACAAGCGTTGCAGATTTTTTCAGAATATTTTGGATTCTGATTTGGCCAGTGTTTTTTCTTGTCTGTTAACGAAGTAACGAAGTTTAATAGCGGCCGATTTGCAAGTAGAGGAGTTTGTAGACAAAGCAATGTTATCTGGGGACTCTACAGATACAGAGTTCTGATCGTTACTACTGATTGCGATCTGTTTATTCGGATGTTTCTTCACCATTAAACTTTAATGACTAAAACTGAATTTACAGCTAAAAAGTTTGTTCCCTATTGAAGTGAGGTATCTTAGTCACAGGATATTTGCTCAGTAAAGTAATCTCGATTAAAAAAAAAATGTCTAAGAATTAGCTAAAAAACGTGCAACTAAAATAATTGGAAACGAAAAACTCCACCTGGTTCTGTCTTTCTGGAGGTAATTTGTGCCTGTTTGCGGAGGTGCTTTTGTGCCAATTGTTTGCCAAAAGAAATAGTTTGGGAAAAATTTACCCCTCTGTCAACTTGTAATCTCCACTATACGTCGGTGATGTTTATGTTTTGAAAAGCAATTTTCAACTATAGTGCAATGGTACATACCGCGATGATCGAAAAAGTTAAGCAATTTCGCGATATAATGTCGTTCATAATTTTTTTACGCCGCCCACTCACACTCTAAAAATCCATTATTTTTCCATATTAACACTATACCTACGAAGCAGAAGGTTCGCCTTACCTCGTCAGAGAAAAAAAATACGGGTACCTGAAATGTCAACTGCGTTTTTATTTCGCTTCGATATTAGGAAAAGATCGTGAATAAATACTTGATGCTTTTGGAGTTACGCTGGTGAAGATTCAAGGTGTTTTCAGTTCTGACACAAAACGAGAAAGGCTATTCCTCAGTATCCTGTTGCAGCTGCATGAGTCACCTAGCAATAAAAAAAAATCCCACTTCTTCTGTCGCTTTGAGAAAGTACAAACATAACTTGTAATCGAGAACAAAAAATTTGCATGATAATGCTTTATCAATACCAAATAGTGCTCATGTTCGAAACAATACACCTTTTGGGGTTGAAGTAATATTCTGGTGTTCATTCTCCTCCTCGTCTTTTATCCGTGGTTTGTGTTCTCGCGAAAGTGTTTCAAATTGAATTGCGGTTACCTCTGAAGGGAGTTCGTGATGCACTTAATGACGTGCCCTTGTGAGGCTGTTTTGACTTTCGACCAAAGTGTTTTAGCTGTTATATCTAGAAACATCTTTTAAACTTTATTCTGGTTTTTATTTTTTTAAATGTATTTTTCTCTGATGGAATCAAGTCTTGCGTTACCTTCTCGATTAATTTAAAACATAGGATAAAAAAAAAAACGGTCTCGGCGTCACGGTGTAATACTGCAATAGTTCTCCAGCTTTTATTTAAAATTATTATCAGGCCAACTGTGATTGCCTTAGTTCTGTTGTTAAAAGATTGAGTGTTGTTGAAATTCTGACGCATGAAACAATGCTCATGTTAATATGACTTCGCGTGGGATTGAGACACGTCAGTCAATGTTAGTGAAAGCGTGCGCATTACCAATAAATTCTGTGAATCTGGGTAACAGCCTTAGAATAGCTATCACCAAACACTTCAGTCGGATGAGCTATTCCAAACAAAATGCCGAGACGAATGAATTCTTCTTGAAGTCGCGTGAAGTGTTATTAGTATTCATCTCTTCGCGCGCGTTCGTCATGGCGGGGCGGACCAGTTTTGATTTACAACGGAAATTCTTGGCGCCAGGAAAGTTCATTGTCGATGAGTAAAAGACCAGCAAGAAAATAGGATCTGTCGAAGCGGTCACTGGCTGTGATATCAAGCCGGATAAACAAGGGTTTTCCTTAATAAGTGCTCTTTAAAGAAAATGTCAAAGAGCGGCGGCAACGTAACATGGAAAGACCAGCTTGTTGGATCGATCGTGGTGATCTTGTTCGCCTTTACTCTCGTCTTGAATTTTCTAGCCCTTCATTACACCTATGTCAAAGTTCGCAAGCCCTCCCTGAAGAAAATCCCGCATCTTTTCGTTGGCGCGCTGTCATTAGCTGGACTGGGCATTGCCTGTTTTCAATATGTTCCATTTATAACGACGCGGTTTAATGGCGAGTGGTCGCGAGAAGATGGCGTTTGTCACTTTGTCGCGTTTGGTGTTCTGTTTTTCGGGACGCTAACAATCTCTTTGGTAGTGATGATGAGTTTGGAGCGATTAGGCGCCATAGTCTTCCCTTTCTACTACAAGGAGAGTGTCACATTTCAGAGATGCGTAGTCCTCTTGGCCATCGTTGTGGTGTACTCCTTCATCCTTGCCATTCTTCCGCAGGCGCTCAATAAAGTTGAGCTCAACGTGTCCACCGGCGTTTGCAGTTACGCCGTCGAGTCGCACAACGTGGATACGGGCATCGTTGTGTATGTCATGTCCATACATTACGTCTTGTCTGTGATAGTAATGGTTCTTTCTAACATTACCGTAGTATACACCCTGCATGTTCTAGAAAGAAATTCACTTTCAGATGTCTATGATCAAGACAACAAACCCGAGAAAGGAACTCGCGCTAAAGGCTCTGGTACCTCTGCCTGTGTTAGCTTCGCCAAAATGGTTACTCTCATGGCAGTGTGTTACTCAATTTGTTGGACAACAATATTGGTAAGTATTGCCTATGTTTTAATGATCATTTTTTAGACGAGCATCTCCGCTCCCCGACGAATTGAAGTTTAATTTAAGTGGGTCTCTTCGGCAAGTAGAACATTGAGAAGCGTGGTCTTTTGGGGATCTTAACGATGTTTATTTGCTTATGTTATCACAAAATCCGTCTCGACAATGTTATTGTAACCTTTTCCCGCGCGATCAAGCCACGCTGGATTGTTTCACCAAGGAATTGTTTCGTTAACTTGGAGTAAACGCAAGTTGTTTTAGTCTTTTCTTTTTTTCGCTTCTAAATTCAAGCTGCTTCGCTCCAAGTGGCCGGAAATTTAAATTTGGAATCAGGAAAAAAATAAGCCATTTTCGCTCGAGATTTCGCCAAGTCGCCTAGTGTTCGCTGTTTATTTAGGCGATGATATGTAGAATTTTAGTTATTTTAGGGCTTTTGGAGAGAAATGAGTAAAAAGGACTAAGGATCTATTAAAGAAATTGGGATATTTCTTTAAATAAGGTCATCTTCCCAAGACACGAGACAAAAGATGCCATAATACTGGAACTTATGTAGACTCATTTAAATAAACCACTACAATTTTCGCGAAGATTATGGATGAAGCCGTACGCAGCGGTTTTCGGAAGAAAAGCGATTTTATATTTATTTACATTTTTTACCGCAGTTTTATAAACAACTCGCAGCGCCTCGAACCTAGAACGCGCGAGTTTGTTTCAGTTTTTATTCGTGTTTTATTTTATTTATTCTTCCTTAGACCTCTGAGATGAGTGGTAATTAAATCGAACGTTTTGAGTTCAGTGAAAATTGTCTGCATTTTTTTTGGAGACAATCACAAAGATTTCCGCGACCAGATGTAAGCGAAATGCGTGGCCAAAATAAAACACATTGCAAGATGTTCAGAAAGCATCGGAGCACTTGTGAAACAAAAGCGAGTGAGCTGAATGAATGAGTTTGTTTCCTTTGAAGCCAATCCGCAAGGTACCGAGATAAAACAACAAACTGTATAATGATTTCCGCGCGGACTCGCTTATCTTGAGCAAAGTAATCGTCTTGAGATGCTTCGAGCGCAACGGAGTAATGGGCAATGGAAGCTTCATCATTAAAATTTCCGAATAGCGGCGTCCTTCAATCTCTTGGAATTGTTTTACCTTAGGCCTTCCTTTAGAAAGTTCGACTTAAGTTACTAACAGGGAAACAAAAAAGAAAATGGAACGATGGAGAAGGAGAAGAAGGAAAATAAAAAAACAAATATATAATAATATTAACAAAAAACTAAGAACTGCTTTGCGGCTGGTCAAATTACTCAGATTCATATCATAAAAATAAGGATTTCGTTGAAGGGGTTATCTTAGGGAAGAGATCTTGGCGGACAAAGCTGAATTATTAAATTGATTATATCTTTTTTTTTTCCTTTCCTTGTTTTTTTTTCGTCTCTCGTTTCTTCGGATCGACGCTGTACCTGATGACTACAGTGGCAGCAAAAACCCACATATGGAGAGAATCAATTTGTCTATGTAGCATTACTCTGTAATGAAGTGAATCAACTTAATAGCAAAGTCTTTTCATTTTGCGCAAATGTTATTTTAATGTCGAACTCCTTAAGAAGCCGCTTATTCTGGTCGTGAGAAGTTGTTATCCTCTACAGGCAGTCATTCGTAAAAGTACCCACTCATTTCGCTTTTCATGGCAAAATATTTACGAAGTTTCTGACCATGTGGAAAACTCATCGAAACGACTAATGCACTAATATGATTTAATTTTTCTAGTGACTGAAAAACGCTTTGAACGTTGATAATTTGCATCTGATCTGAATTTTTATTGGAATAGGTTTTAAATGAATTGAAAAAAAAAGCGACTTTTCCAGTTTGTAGTTTTTAAGAATGCAAAGCGTTTATTCTACTCTTTGTTAAAAAAAGATATTTTTCTGGAGTTAGTTTCTGTGATCGATTTTGATCTTTGTCAAATGAGGTTTTAAAATATAGCGGTGATACTAACCGAGTAATTGCAAGTCGTTCGTAAATGCTAATGAATATTTTATAGTTTTGCTTCAGCTCCCGCAATCTGCTTTGAATAATGATGGAACCACAGTTGTAAGGGAGGGTGATGCATGACCCACTCAACCATTCAAATCATACCGAATAGCTTTTTCTCCCTCAGTCACTCAGAAGTTTTGATTTGTTTTCCATGTAGGTTGTTTTTTAAATAATTAATTAAAATTAATTGTCCGTGGTCTGGAATAACAAGATGGTTTTTAAATTTGGTGAATGCGGCGACAGTGAAAGTAAAGTGTGATCATCGCATACTATTTAGTATCTGGAAGAGAATGGAAAATGTATTTGGTTTTTCGCATTCCCTTTTCATGGTCAAGTTAAAATTTAAGGGACATAAAAACGTGCCTAGTAACACAAGTGAGGCAATATCCCAATTTTTCGCGATCTCGTCTTCTTCATTGGTCATTTCCGCCAACTCCCTCACAGCATAATTGCTGTCTAGTGAAAAAGGCCCGTAAAATGAATACCCTTGCCAATTTTTTGGCTCTAAATTTTTGAACGCTATGTTTTGAAATGTTTCTCAAGCCTTTTTCTTCAGTTCCTTTTATGCACCATCTGCTCCTATAACCTTGGTGTGGTATTTGAAAATTGAAAGGGGAGTATCTATGTTTTGCCGACTGCCACCCATAAACACTTATTGACTGAAAGGGAAATTACATTCGAAAGAGCACCATGATTTTATAGGTGAGTTTGTTGTTGTTAGTCGACAAATGCGCCTGACAGAAATTTGATTAACAGCAATATAAATAAAATAAAGCCAGAAAAGGGCGTGAGAAAGCATTCAGAAGCTTTATTATTTTAAATATTTATTGATTTTTTTCTCTTTAACAGCAAACTGTACGTAGGAAATGTCATAAAAGATTTAGGTTTCCGCTTGATGAGATTCGTCTGATGTAATATTCTTTGTTAAAGAGTAACAATGAAATGACCAGTTGTGGTTCTGTAAAGTAAACTAGCGTCTAATTGCATTCTACGCAAGTCGGTCAAATCTCCGTGACGAAGGAGTACGATGTGGTCATGTTATCATGTGAAGGGGATGTGATATTAGTTTGTCATCATTCGTTATTAAATACGATGACGTAAAATGGAAGTTCTTTTTCTCAGTCACGGTTAAAAGGTTAAAGACAATTTACCACATTCGTGCCTTTCCCAAATTATTTCAGTGACTGAGTGCTTCCTTTTGCGTAAAAGAAAGGATGTTAGCGTAGTGCACCACATGCGTGCAAAGGGCGATAGCCAAAGGGCGTCGAACCGACAGCCCTTTGTCTAGTGTTCGGATGTTCTACCTTGTCGCCTTTCCGTTTGCCTATCAGAAGAAGCTCGGCAATTTTCTCATTATCGACGTTCAGCTGAAAGAAAGAAATAAAACACGACTGACTTTATTTGCGTCGCGGAACACGTTTCTGAATACTTCCTGTCCGGAAAATAGGCTCAGTAACTGCGTATGGTAACGTGGCTCCTGGAGGATCTCTCTAACAACGGTCGAATGCTAGCCTTGTCTGTTCGTGCCAGTGTCTTCAGTAAATTCTGCTATTAGCTTCCACGTTTAAATCAGTAACGCCAACATTAGATCCAATTAGTTTCTCAGTACGAGTATTTATTGTTCAACGAAGTATGAGAATTGCTCAAAGTCATAGCTGCCTTTCGAAAGGCTTTCCACATGAGTTTTATCATCACTAACCTTGAGAAACGCTAACGCTTCGTATAAAAGGGAGACTGAAATGCAGCCTCGGGCTTTTCATTACAGTAGCCCTGCAGTGAGCGTGTTTCTCTCTCTCTCTCTAAGTGAAACATCCCTTTCTGTTTTACATGTTTTGGGTTTAAAGCTACACGGGGTACCGACGGAGTAGTTCGCAGTTTAAAAACCTACCGATACACGAGTTCTATGGACGCAAGGTTCGAGATGCCCTCGAAATAATTTAGCCCTTAGCCCTCTCTTGTCAATTCTAAGACCTACAATTACAAAGGAAGCCACCGTCTATTACTTTCCCATCTTAAAATCGCGTTTATCGTTGTTTTTTTTAGTCATTCCACATCAAGCACTCCATTTAACACCCGCATATACGCTACCTTGTAATGCGGGGACTATGGTACCTTTATATCAGTCAGTGTTTCTCAGGTACATATTTCTGTTTATTTCTGAAAGAGACTTCAGACTTTAGATTTAGTTTCACTTTCCCATGGCCATTTTTGGCGGTTGGCATTCAATTTCTCTACTCTTCATCACGGGAAAAGTGTAAATCAGTCATTTTAAGTTGATAAATTGTCACAAATAAGAAAAACGCAGTCTCTCTCAAACTTAACATTGTTTTTCACTTGCTATTCCTCTTTTATCATTTTTTTGTTTCGGTTTCTGTTAGTTATGTTATATGTTGCCTTTAACAGGGAAAAAATTGGTGTTTACAAATGAAGCTTCTTTAGATATCTGTTGTTCCCTTGTTTCTTGATTAAAAACGAGAAAAGGCGCAAGAATTTTTGTTGGGTCATTTTTTCCGGGATATGCTACAACCATGGAATTTTACTCCACTGAGATAATTTCGTGGGTATTTTGTTTCCAGCCGATCTCACCCTTAAATTTTATGGGAAAAAATTGGGAATAGTTTTCACCGATATCAAATTGTTTACATTTTCTCGTTGCTTTTCAGATGCGCATTGTAATTCTGTACGCTTACAACTGGCATAACATGTATTTTGATCAAGTGGTTCTTGTCCTGACCACACTGGATCCTTTGATAAATCACTGTGTCTGCTTGTGGACCATGAGGAAATACCGCGATGGGTATGCTTCGTCGCTGGGCAAGGTTTTTTCTTGTTTAAAGCCCTCAGAGGAAGGCATGTTCCGCTCCGCCATCACTCGAATCAGCTCCATATCGAGGCGCTCATTCAGTCGGTCATCTTCCTCTGCTAGGTCTTCATCTATGCGAACTTCAAGGAGGAAATCTTGTAAGTTTCGATAAATTTTGACTGTAAACGTAGACAATTTTAAGGTGAAGACAGCTGTGCCCTTTGTTATATATGAAAGGGATTCGTGGTAACTCTGAAACGTTTTATGCTTAACACAATGCTTTTAATCCTCAATTTTGTACCCGTGCCATGGAAACTTTTATGCTGTTGAAGTCAACGAGCCGAAAAAACTGATAAATCGAGTAAGACTACGAAGCTAAAGAAGGAAATAAACCTTGAAACTCGGTTTGGTGTAAGTTGTCAGAGACTGAAAAGGTGGAGAAGATTTAATTGCGCTCAAAAGAAAATCGGGAAGTTCCAACCGTGATATCTGATTTGGTTGTTACAATTTCCTGTTACCTTGGCATTTGGCTGAATGCGTGGGTCAAAATCTTACCAAGGAACAAATTTAACGAAGGAAATTCGTTCAGGGCTGACTGTGGGTGACAAATATGACATTATTAACGGCAATCGATGAATGATAGTTAATTTATAGGTCGGTCTGTTTCTGTTCAGTTAGAAAATGAAATTTCTTCCGGGAAAAAGTCCTTTGGATTGGTTCAATAGACTTTCCTTGCTTAAGGGGAATAAGAGTAAAGTCGACTTTCATCTTTATGCTCCAGGTGTTGATTTACCTTGCACTTGGCAACAACAAAAGCACTTAGCACAAACTGCTGTAAAAAATTCAACCCCTGACAGTTTAATGCGATCTCTCATACCCCACGCCTACGCCAGTTTATATTTTTAGCTTTAATTTCTCGGTCTCTGGCGATATCCTGTATAAAAATAGTTCTGTCACAAGAGGAACAGTTTTATACAAGTTACAGAATGAGGATTACGCTTGCCTAGTATCTCATTGTTCCAGAATGTTAAGTTTTGCGGCGTCCAAGAATTCCCCGCTGTAAAAAATGTTGTCGCGTGATGAACATTAAAAGCCAAAAGTTATCTCCAACAAGCGAATATTAACGACACACCTCCGCATTACGTGTTAAAAGATATAGATTTGCAAGGAGATGTCCGTTTCAGTTTATGACTTTCTGATGCATTCTTCTGTCTATAAATATATTTAACTGATTGCAGTTTAAGAGAGCAAGTCATAACCTGGTGTGAATTATCTGCTGCCTCGTATAAAATGATCCCCTGCTAACGCTTGGTTTCTTCTAATGATCCCCTATAGCGACAGTGAGACTTAGTTTTTGCGGATAAAACCAAGCTTTACTCTCCTAGACAAGAAATTAGCTTCATAGAATATATGTTGCATAATCTATAATCTCGTTCCAAACCTAACAAGAGTGTCATCACTGACTGAGGTGTTAGAGGGAGGACATTTTCTTTGCCATAAATTTTCTTTTTATAATTGTTTCGCGTGCTTCTGTTATCTTAGTTTTTTTTTTTTTTTTCGGTACTGTATGTAATTACAATATTCACCTGTCGACGTCAGTGATGATCAATTGACGAGGTTGTAGCGTGCTGGGAGTGATTTATTGCCGAACCATTGACGAGCTGCAGGAAAAGCTCATCAAAATTTTACTCAAGTTTTGTTCCAGAAGTTATCGTCTACATCGATATCCCGCAACGATCAGTCAGAGAAACGTGATTAAATTCTTTATGTGTTATGATTGAAAGGTTTGTTGCATCACAAACCTTCAAAAGCAGGATATTCAGTTAGGAAAGCTCACCGCATAACCAAATAGCTACGAATTAGTATTCAATTCAAATTCAGAAATAGACCTTTCGTCAATTCAGTGCAAAACTAGTCAACACTTACAAAAAGCAAATTTCAGAAAACTTTTGAAGATAAAACTGCCCGCGAATATAAGATAAAAAGGAGGAAGGCAAAGGTATCTATAAATTGAGTCTTTCGATAGCTTCAAAGACAAAGCTATACAAATGATAAAATTTGAGTCGGAGACCTTTCGAAAAGGAGTACGATAGAAATGAAAATATTGTTTATATTAGTAATGCTATACATAAAAAACCATGCGCGTCTGATTGGCTGAAAACGAGTGGATTTTTATGCAACACGAGTGTAAAGCTGTAACACGAGTGCAAATTACAAATAACGCGCGCGCTGTCAAAGATTCGCCTGTCTTGACTTTCTGTGATGCTTTTTTCATGAAAATTATTTACAAGCAACAACATAATTTCTCCTCCAATTTGGTGTAAATAATTGCACTTGCCTTATGGGCTCTTGCAATTTTGTTGTCTTTGAAAAACTTTACTGGTGCTTATTACCACCAAATTACACTCGAAGTCTTGTTACTACCTATACTAACACAAAGAATAGTACGGGACATGGATGGCCATGGATAGAGAAAATGAAAAAAGGGCAGCAATAGACGAAATTAAAGCTATTTTTGTGGAAAGACAGCCCGCGATGCTGCTCATTCAAAATTTAAAAGAAAGAACATCTTAGGTCACCGCGTCTCTTAATTTTAGTTTTTATTTTTAATCTAACCAGATAACTTTTGATTTTTTTTTCTTTTGTAGCCGCTGCACATACGTATAAACAAGTAGCCCAAAATAACGCGGGTGTTCCAGCACCTATAGAAGCTCAAGTCTATGCTGAAATTCAGTCCGATCCTAAGGAGCTTGTGGAACAAGGACACTCAGACGACCCTTAACGACGGGCCCATCATGCTAGAGGTGCAAAAAAAAAAAAATAGATGTGGCCTTCATACAAAAAGAGGGGATGCTTCTCACCCCTTCCCCCTGAAAATGGCGCGTTCTTTTGGAACGAGAATCGTGATGAGGCGTGTCACAAATATACGAGGATTCATTTCTCAGATACAGTGATAATCCCGATACAACTACCATGACGATCTCGTTACGATTATAGTTGTTCAGTATTTCTAAAATGGAATGTAGGATATAACCCTTCGTTAAATGCCATAGTACCCTTGGCCTCTTGCATGCTAGCCCTGCATTGATCTGATTCAAAGTGCGAATCGAATCCTCTCTTTTCTTTGTATTTCAGCTACAAGAATTGTGTAGACCATTTGCGCAGATTACTTACCTTTTTCAATATGAATTTCACATTGTGGATTGCGAACATCTGAAAAACTCAGTGTTCAGCAGATCAGTGTCCAGCCCAATCCAAAGCCGCGTTCAGTAAAATATTCTTTACTCTAGATATCCTTTGGGAGACGAAAGAGCACCTCGCAATAGAGCTTAGTATAAGAAATAGTTCATGGAAGTGAAAACAGTGGAAGTAATAGAATTAAGAGCAATCAATTTAGTGTTGAAAACACACCCTCTTAAATAATATGACGGGATTCGTCGCCCTAGACCCAGTGGAAAGTAATCCTTGCGGTCTTGCGGCATTCCTGAAACTTTTTCTCTGTCTCAAGAAAAACCTTTCTTGGAAGTTTTTACTCCAATGGAATCGCAAAATATTTCTTGAGGAATTCGAAACTAAGAATACTGAAATATGTTCTTGAATATAATATGTAATGTTTGGAAGGTAATGTCTTTTTGATATGCACTAAATCTTTCATTAACCAACTTCTCAGCCTTGGGGGCTGAGCACTGACCTCGAACTAATTTAGCCAACTTTTATATTATGAACCAGCATGGCTTTGTGCCACTCTGCGAGTCCGACGCAAGGCTGAAATTATTCTGTTCTCCCGGTAGCGACAATTTGTCACCAATTCTCTGAAAACGGTTGTCAAGTAAAGAAATCTTGGTTCTGTGCTGTCGCAAACCTTCAAAACTGCAATAAGCAGAACAAAACTCACAGTACATGTAAAAGAAGAAGCACTACATCCAAGTCACA